GCAATAGCAGCACCTATTACGTAACCGTTTTCCATATGTCCGACTCCAGGCTACATAAGAAGATACACTGACTTGCAGTGACAGTCTAGAGTCTAGTTCTACCTTTCTACAATACTAGTTCAGTGTTCAAGCATTTCGCTATTGTTATCCATTTGTGTATACTGTGCAGCTGCAATAAATTCAATAGGACAGTTCGACTAGTGGTTGTCTAATTCATACGACATCCCACATTGGTGACCCCGACAATTCAACACAAATAATGGACAGCGGTCGAATAGAAGACCTCCTGCACCAGTACGTAACACACATGGAGACTTTACAAGGCGAACTACGTACAAAAGGAGAACAGGAAGAAAAAATTGAAGTAAACCAGCATGAGGCTGGTATTACTAGCAGACCAGTACCAACAGAGACATCAAGAATTGCCGTGCGGGTTCCGCCGTTCTGGGCCGACAGACCAGCAGTTTGGTTCGCTCAAGCCGAAGCACAGTTCACTTTGGCCGGTATCAGTAGCGAGCAGACGAAGTTCTGCTACGTAATCTCGCAGTTGGACCAACGTTACGCATCGGAAGTAGAGGACATCATCACCTCGCCACCCAAACGAGGCCCCTACACCCTACTAAGAACCGAGCTTGTGAGGCGGCTATCCCCATCACCAGAGCAGCGCATGCGGCAACTCTTCACGGTCGAAGAAATTGGCGACCGTAAGCCGTCCCAGTTCCTGACGTACCTCAAAAGCCTCGCACCAGACCTGTCTGATAACGTCATCCGAAGCGTCTGGACCAGCCGGCTACCCCGCAACGTGCAGAGCTTCCTCGCCGGCCAGAACGAGAGCAACCTGGAGGCCGCAGCCCTCTGTGCAGACCGCATTTCCGAGGTCGACGTCCGGCCAGCACTCGCTAGCGTTGATGAGCCCACGGACATCGGCGCACTTCGGCAGGAGATAGCTGATCTCTCCCGCCAAGTGGCTGCATTGAGCACCGAACAAGACCGCCTCCACGCCGGCTTCAAAAATCTCGACACCAAACCGAGAGACAGAGGCTCCAGTCCCAAGGGTTCCCGCCCCGCCTTCAACAACCGCCGGCCCTGCAGCAGATCCCCTTCCCGTGGCGACACCACATCCAGTATCTGCTGGTACCACCGCCGCTTCGGCGCTCGGGCCCAAAACTGTACTCCGCCCTGCTCCTACAGCCAGCAGGGAAACTGACGCAGCGGACATCATCGGCGGCACATGTCTGCGGTACAACAGGCCGCCTCTTCATAACGTACAGTCAGCAAACGGCAGTTCCTAGTCGACACGGGTTCGGACCTCTGTGTATACCCCCGCAGGCTCGTCCATCGACGCATGGAGCGTACCACCTATGACCTGTGTGCGGCTAATGGCACTACCATCCACACATACGGATGGGTGCCTCTCAGCCTCAACTTGGGCCTACGCCGAGAATTCACGTGGCGCTTCGTGGTGGCCGACGTCCCGCATCCTATCATCGGTGTGGACTTCCTGTCGCATTTCGGTCTCCTGGTGGACTGTCGGAACAACCGCATCCTGGACGGGGTCACGACACTGTCAGCCCCGGCATCAGCGGCCAACGCACTGATCCCCAGTGTAAAGACCATCAGCAGCACCACACCGATCGACAGCCTCCTCACAGAGTTCCCGGACCTGACCCGCCCAGCTGGAGTCCAGCGCGAGATACGACACAACACCGTCCACCACATCAGGACTGTGCCTGGCCCACCAGTAACCAGCCGACCACGGCGACTGGCACCGGACCGACTCGCTATCGCAAAAGCCGAGTTCGACGCCATGTTGCGGGATGGTACAGCTCGTCGATCAGAGAGTTCATGGTCCTCGGCACTACATATTGTGCCCAAGAAAGACAACGGTTGGCGTCCTTGCGGCGACTATAGAGCACTAAACGCCCGGACAATCCCTGACCGCTACCCAGTCCCGCATATCCATGACTACTCACACCAGCTCCATGGCTGTACCATTTTCTCCAAAATCGACTTGGTACGAGCGTATAACCAAATCCCCGTCAATCCCGGTGACATACAGAAGACGGCCATCACCACTCCATTCGGCCTATTCGAGTTCCCCTTCATGTCCTTCGGCCTGCGCAACGCCGCACAGACCTTCCAACGCTTCATGGACGACATTCTGCGGGGACTCGACTTCTGTTTCGCTTACCTGGATGATATCCTCATCTTCTCCCGGTCTCTAGAGGAACACGAGCAACACCTACGGGCACTCTTCGACCGACTGCAGAAGTATGGGATCCTCATCAACCCGGCGAAGTGCGTCTTCCGAGTGCCTGAGATCACCTTCCTCGGTTATAAGGTGTCCGCCGAAGGCTCCCAACCGCTGGAAGAACGAGTGACTCACCTTCAGGAATGTCAACCTCCCAAAACCGCCAGTCAGCTCCGCCGTTTCCTGGGCATGCTGAACTACTACAGGCGATTTCTGCCCCACGCGGCAGCACACCAGGCACCACTGCACGACGTCCTCTCCGGACCCAAGATCAAGGGCTCCCACCCCATTACTTGGACACCGGAGCACCACAAGGCCTTCGAAGAGTGCAAGGCGAGTTTGTCACGCGCCACACTACTGGCTCACCCCGATCAATCCGCGCCACTTGCACTCGTCACAGATGCCTCCACGTCCGCAATGGGTGCCGTGCTACAGCAACGCGTCAAGAACGCCTGGCAGCCCCTGGCATTCTTCTCAAAAAAGTCAACCCGGCCCAGCAAAAATACAGTGCGTATGACCGCGAGCTGCTGGCCATCTACGAGGCCGTAAAGCACTTTCGCCACATGCTGGAAGCGCGCCACTTCAGCATCTTCACAGACCACAAACCTATCACCTACGCTTTCCAGCAGAAAAGGGACAAATGCTCACCAAGGCAATTCAACCACCTGGATTTCAGAGCACAATTCACGACCGACATCCGACACATCTCAGGACAGGACAACGTCGTTGCCGACGCGCTCTCCAGCGTCGAATTCGTCACGGCGCCGCCATCCTACGACGCATTGGCCGCATGGCAGGACAGCGACGACGAGCTCCAATCACTTCGGCAGTCAAACACGGCTTTGCGGCTCGAAAAGCTACCAATCCACGGTACCACGGTGTCCATCTACTGCGATACCTCGGCTGGGAAACCTCGGCCGTACATCCCAGCTCCTCTACGGTTCGATCTGTTCCAG